GTATATGTACGATTTGAAGAACGGAATTGCCAGAACCTTACAGGACCTGTGTGCCTGTCTCAATCATATCCTCCTATCCTGCCCACCAAGAGGTAACCACAATCTTGAATTCTGTGTTAGCAATTGCCTTCTTCTTTTTTTTAAAAATGGTTTTGCTACCTATGTATATATCCTTAAACAATATTCTGTTCAGTTTCTCCAGTGTTTGAACTTGAAGCATGTGAAAGCCTGTTTTGGGTATTCATGCGTGACTTGCTGTTTTTGCTCATTGCTGTGTTGTTGAGATGCCTCCAAAGTGATATGTGTGGCTGTGGCTCATTCATTCCCACAGCCGTACAGTCTTCCTTTCTTTGAAAATACCATAATGCACATATCCATTCTGTTCCTGCGGGCCATTAAGGACGCTCCCAGTTTTTGGCTGTTAAGAACAGTGCTGCTGTGAACACTCAGGCTTGGGTCTCCTTGGGCATATGTGTGAGACTTTCCCTAGGGATGTGTCCTAGTGGAATGGCTGGGCTGTGGGGCATGTGCATCTTTGACATGATTCATGTTAAATAGTTTTCCAAGTGGTTGTGCCAATGTACACCGGAGTAGCACTGTGTGTTGTGTTCCCTGCCTATGTCCTCTTAGCACTCGGTTCAGTGGACACATTGCCTGCTCTCCAAATGCAGCGGCCTCTGCCTGAGTGTCCCTCCCAGCTCCCACACCTGCTCAGGCCTCCCTGGCTTTCAGCTGAAAAGCCTTCTTTGACCCTATGAGGCCAGATGGTCATCCCTCCTCGGGCTCCACAGCATCCTGTACCATGGGGGTTGCAAATTAGCCACTGGCTTGTCTGTCTCCCTAACTGCTCCAAGGGGTCCTTGAAGGAAGGGCCACATCTCATTTACTCCTGTACCTCTGGAGTTCAGCATGGGGGCCCAATGCATAGCTGGTGGAAAAGGTGAGAGTGAGGCTGGAATCAGTTTGGGGCATGAGGAGGCTGTAGGGTGCTGAGCCACAGCCGGAGGCTCGGCAGTGGCAGGGGCGTCATGGAGTCAGGCTCCAGGACCACAGCCACACAGTTAGCCTGCTCTGAGAGAGGCTGTTTGCAGCCCCTGAAAGAAGAAAGAGGCAGTGAAACCAGAAGTCAGGACCTCTGTCCCCCACCTCAGGGACCCTTTCCACCCGTATGTGGAGTTGGATGGCAACACAGTTGAAAGCAGACCACCTGGGGTAGAATCCAGGCTCCGCCACTCACTGGCTGCATGACCTGGGCCAGTCACTGAAGGTCTCTGTGTCTCAGTTTCCTTATCTATAAAATGGGGGCAAAAATATCTCTTACCTCACAGGATTATAATAAAGATTAAATTAAATGAGTTCATATTTGTAAAGCATTTGGAACAGTACCTGGCACACGACAAGTGCTACAGAAATACTTATGACATAGAAATGACCGGGCATGGTGGTTCACACCTGTAATCCCAGCACTTCGGGAGGCCGAGGTGGGTGGATCACTTGAGGCCAGGAGTTTGAGACCAACCTGGACAACATGGTGAAAGCCCGTCTCTACTAAAAATACAAAATTTAGTCAGGTGTGGTGGTGCACGCCTGTAGTCCCAGCCTCTTAGGAGGCTGAGGCATGAGAATCACTTGAACCCAGGAGATGGAGGTTGCAGTGAGCCAAGTTCATGCCACTGCACTCCAGCCTGGGTAACAGAGTGAGACTCTGTCTCCAAATAAAAATAAAATCAATCAATCAATCAATATTTATCAATCAATATCAGAAATGAATAAGGGTGGGGGGCCGGGTTGCCCCCAGTAGGCCTCCAGGGGACTTTTACTCCAAGGACCCGTGAGTACAGTCTCCCAGGATGAATCGCTTCCATGCGTCCTTCCTGTTATTCTCAAGCCCTGGGTTCTGTTTATTTCCCTCTTACTGCTTTCACAGTCGACAGCGATCTGAAGTGATAGGGTTACTTGTCTGCAGGTTTAGTCTGCTCCCCTACTCGCCTGCAGGCTGCCATGAGGCTGTGGCTGCCATGGCTACCTGTGTCTTCCCATGGAAGATGCCGGCCGTGGGGTGCTGAGTGGGCTGTGTGGGGGCTGGCTGAGCCGTGGCCCTGTCCTGGAGAAGCTCAGCAGAGACTTCTGACTTGCTGGGAGTCCTGACCGGGGAATGTTTGGGATGCTGGGGGAGGAAGTGAGGCAGAGCAGGTTCTCGACTCCAGCGGAGCCAGTGAACACAGGGACACCTCTCCATAGGAGGTAACACTGGTGCTGAAGCTGAAGTCATCTACTTGGCAGAAAAGATTCTGGAAGGGGACACAGCATGAACAAAGGCTAGGATGTGTACCATATTGCAAGGCCCACGCCTGGAATCCTCAGGTGCTCCGAGTCCAGAGCACATAAGGGTGTCTGAAGTAGGTAAGGGGGAGGGAGGGATGGGTCACAAAGGTCTTTCATCACCTCTCCCCCGAGCCTAGGCTTTCTGTTTGGAGGTCCTGGACAAAACAGCCCCTTGAAGGAGACTTTAGGATACCTCAGCCCCTGGGCATGTTGTTCAACTACCCTGTTGTGTCTGACAGAGGAGGGTCTGAGAGAAACCAACAGCTCGGTGCTGTTTGGTAGAAAAACGACAATAAACAGGGCTGTGGGTGGATAGATCAAAGGGTTCTGTTACCATAGCAACAGTGGGACAGGCCAACCCTAAAATAAAAGAAGAAAAGTAGGCACCCACCAGAAAAGGTTCTGAGAGAAATCTCAGCACACCCCGGAGGGAGACACAGGAACAGCCTATCTGGGCCTGGCCTTGGACAATCTGGGTCGCCCTGGGCCCTGGATAGCACCTTTCGAGGTTCAGTTTCCTTATCTACACAGAAAGGCACTTCTGCAGCACCCTGGGACTCCTCAGTTTGAGAATCATAGCCTTGGAAAGTCTGGAATGTGCTAGGGTTCTATGCACAGAGCCATTGATAGCCGCAGTGCTTATTACAGAATAGAAGGAAGGCAGGTAAGAGCCATAATAGCAAACCATCAGCTAGACACGTCGGACTGCACAGGTTTACCTTGTCTAAACGGTCCAGTAGGACAGGCATCCCCATTTCCAGAGTCTACTGACTCTGGCACTGTCAGTGTCTGCCTAACACACCTGGCACCTTGGGAAACCCCAGTGAATACTCAGTTCCCACCTTCATCTAGAATAGAGGCGGCAGCCATTCAGCCTCCCCAGCCCACTGTTGGGCTCCACACTGAGCCACTGTGTCTCGTTCTGTCCACCTGGCCCAGCTCCAGGCCTTCCACAAACTCTGCCTGACTCACCCTGCTCTTATTCCTTGATCTCTCCTGGGCCCTCGGTCTGCCCATTATTCTACTTTTTTCTCCTCATTTGTAGAAGGGGAGAACATCCCTGCCCTACTCACTTCCCAGATCTGTGGCCAATGAACAAAGGTTTAAGAAAGCCTGCAAAACCGCTAAGAGCTGCCCAGGTGTTGAAAGGCAAGGTTAGGTACTGGGTGAGAGGGTAGTTAGTGCTACTGTCACTGACCTGCTGGGTGACCTTGGGTAAGTTATACAGCCTCTCTGGGTTTCTGTTTTGTCATCAGTAAAATGACAAAGGACAGCATCTACTTCCTAGAATTGCCGTGAGGATTAAATGAGTTAACACATGATACCAGCTGTCATCATCATCATCGCTCTTATGATGATCATTGCTTGTTATTGTCACCGCCATAGGCTCTCCCTGGCTCAGGGGCTCAGGTAGCCAATGATAGCTCTTCCTGGTTTGATATCCTGTCCAGATTTCTAAATTCTAGTGGTGGCCGGGGAATTCTCTTGGGATGAAGTGGGACCCACCCAGCTGTTCTGTTGCCCAACTTGCAGGATGAATGGTGACCAGATGTCTCCCCGTCCAAAAGTAGCCTGTCTGCTCGAGTGGACTCAGTTCCTGCCCCCTTGGCCCGTGGGCACAGCCAGTGTTGGGTCCATCCTCCTTGCTAGTTCTTGTTGTGTCTGTCTGGAGTCCCGCTTCCTCTCAGGAATATGTGGAAGGTGGTCAGGTGGAGGGACATATTTCTCAACCTGTTTCATAAATGGCATTCTCTGCTGCTGCTCTGAATGCATAACTTCTTACCGAGCTGAGTAAACCCTCTGTCTCGAGATAAATGAGCCTGAGCATCTTATTTTCTATAAAACCTTCTTGTCTAGCAGGATAAAAGGTTCTGCCCCCAATGCATAGAATGACCATTTCTGGTTTAGTTTAAGAATTCACACTAAATTCCACAAAAAGATTTCTCTAATAAAGCAGTGAGAGAAACAGATTCTTTTTCTCAGTAGAATTTGCTACACTGTACAGAAATCCTACCAAATAGTACACCCCACTGCAGCTCAGCTGTCCCCCGCAAAGACAGTCTAACTATTTCAAATGAAAGTCAACAAAACTACAACCTCCAAAGGGACTCAAACTTCCCTAATCTGGAGAATCCTAGAAAGACCAGTGCGAGTTCAGGGCAAGGCTGACTGCAAGACATCTAAAAAGTATATTTAACAGTACTTTTATGTGAGGTTCTTTATTTTAACAACAAATATCTGATATCAAATGTGTGAAAAGAAATATATTGCTCATCACTTTGAAAATAACATCGTACCTAGAAGGAGCTTTCAGAATGTTTACTCCCTAGCAGCACTTTTTAGGAGATTTACTTTAAAATTGGGATAAATATGCAATGCCATTTCTCAAGTGATGGATCTTATAAATGAAGGCTTCTACAATGTATGAGAATATACGCTTTTAAAAAGCCCAATATTTCCCCTTCATTCTGCGTGTATTAATAGTAAAATCGACTTCTTTCACAACACCTTATATTTGGTCTCCTTGGAATAACATGTCTCAAATGGAAGGAAATGGAACTGATGAAGTGTTCCCAGCGGGGTACTGGGCAGTCTGGGTGTTGGGCAGCCTCACTGTCCTCACGTGCCAGGGGCTGCATCTGCAGGCTTCGCTCCTGCCGGCGTGGAGGGCTTACCTCCATGCTGTACTTCTCCACTGTCCTCCGCAGGGGGTCCACGGCCTGCCAGCAGATCAGGATACACAGGTCAATCAGCAGCATGCCGCCCACAATCACAAGCAGTTTCTGGTCCTTGATGATCTACAGAGCGGGAAGGAGCGGAGGGGAGCCGATGTGAGAGACAGCGTCCCACGCAGCAACTAGGGGCCCAGGTCAGGGGAGGAACCTGCATCATGAACCCCCCAGCTGGAGAGTCTCCTGCGATTCCCCATCACCCACAGGATAAATCCAGCCAAGCTCCTCTGCGTGACATTCAAGGCCTTTCACAAGCTTGACCTTATCATTCCCCAAACACACGTGTATTTTGTTGAAGTTTGGCCACTCCTAGTCCCTGGTCGAGCTGTGATTTTCACCCTCCAGGTCTTTGTAGGTGCTAGTTCTTTTGTCTGGAATACCCTGTTCTTTCTATTTGGCAAACTTCTAATAATCCTTAAACACCTCGATCAATTGTCACCTCCTCCAGGAAGCCCTCTCTAACTCCTGCAGCACAACTAATTACTCCACAGCACTTTGTTCACATACTTCATTATCAGGAGGAACCACAGTAGTAACAACAATGAGAAGAATAGCTAACATTTAATGAACACTGACTCTGTGCCTGCCTCTAGGTTGATGGTCTCAGAGGCAGTGTCTCATAGAAAGTCAAATATTGTTATTATTCTTATTTTATGGACGAGCAAACTGAGGCTTAGAGGGGGCTAAGTAACTTGCTCAATGTAATAAACTTCATAAGCAATGAAGCCTGGATTTGGACCGAGCTCTGTTTTCTCCAGAATTCACATCCTCAAACATTTACAGCTCCAATCAGAAGCTATATTAAGTTGTATACACGTCTTCCCTCCTCAGTAAACTGGGGAGCCCTAGACAGAAAGAAAGCCCATTTTATTTGTGTTTCCTCAGCACCTAACAGGGCCTGGCATGCAGTAGCTACTTAAAAGTCTGATGAATTGAATCGACATGAAAGAATATAAAAAGAAGAAATATAACTCCCATTCCTCTTTGCAGCCTAGGATATTTTTATTACTCTGTGAGACTCCTAGCCCACTTTACGTCTGTTTGATAGGGATCAGCCGGGGGATAAATATTTTCTGTGCCAAAGCTGACCTGTATTTCATTCACTTCATGTTTATATATCCCCTCACTCTCCAGAAAAGCTAATGTGATGAAGTAGTTCTGGGAAAGACTCATGGAAAAACGAACAAAATTCAGGCAGAAGCTTAAGAAATATCACCAGGTTTGGTTTTTAACGATTAAAGCCATTTTTAAAGGAGAAATAAAAACCCGAGGGGCCTTTATGTTACCGAATGTAAAAAGAACACGAGGAAAGTGTTGGCTCAGTGACTGCCAAGGAGATCAAATCCAGCAAAACCGCTTTACCTGGGGGCAGGGCACTAGCAAAGCCCGCTCTGAGATTTTCAAGGATATGGTGAACTGCTGGTGCTTTGCAGAAACCCAGCTTAACTCTCACCCTCTGGGGAACTAGGCAACTACCTGCCAGTCTTGAGAAACTGGGACAAAATACCTAAGGAGCTTAGCAGTTAGGGGATGGGCTGGAAGGAGCCTCATATCTACGTGATGCTGAACAGGAGGCTGTTTGAGCCCCCAGGCATTTGCCTAGCTATTCCTGACCCCTGGAAGGCCTGACCTGCACCTTTCTGCTGGCATACTCCTACCCTGATTTCAAGGTTGAGCCCAAGCAGCTTCTCTTCCTCCATGAATCTAGGCATACCCTGCAAGGGGCAGAGATGGCTTCAAAAGCTGGGCACCAGAATTTTCCTCTTGTAAATGTCATAAAGTAAATCCTTCCAATTTAATGGCTCAAGTATGAAGTCTGAGGAAGTGTATTTTTTTTTCTTTTTTTAGATGGAATCTTGCTTTGTCACTTAGACTGGAGTGCAATGGTGCAATTTAGGCTTACTGCAGCCTCTGCTTCCTTCCCAAGTTCAAGCACTTCTCCTGCCTCAGCCTCTTGAGTAGCTGGGATTATAGGCATGTGCCACTACGCCCAGCTAATTTTTGTATTTTTAGGAGTGACAGGGTTTCACCATGTTGACCAGGCTGGTCTTGAACTCCTGACCTCAAGTGATCCACCTGCCTCAGCCTCCCAAAGTGCTGTGGTTACAGGTGTGAGCCACAGCACCCTGCTGGGGCAGTGGAATTCTAAAGGATTTAAAATTAAGTGGACCTGAGTTAGAATTCTGGCTTTGTTCCTTGCTACCTGTGTGACCATGAGCCAATCACTTCCTTGCTCTCAGTCTGCATTTCTCATTTGTAAAATGGGCAGGGGTAGGGGGAGGGAGAGAGGAGAGTTTCTGTGTTATTCTCCAAGTATGGTATAAAAGAAAGAACACAGGTTTTGCAAGTAGAATACCTCGTTCTAATCCCAATTCTTGTCAAGCGCGACCTTGAGCAAGTTGCTTAACTTTGCTAGGACTCAGTTTCCGTTTTTTTAAAGTGCGGTCAGTGATCCCTAAATTGTACAGTTATTATAAGAATAAAATGAGATGAGGTCCAGAAAGCATTTAGTGTCTGGCACAGAGAAGATGATCAACAAATGTTAGCTGGCTACTATTATTTGGGTTTTGACAATTAGTGATTCTGTGTTTACGTGTAAGACATAGTGACATCTAGGGGCAAAATGTGATATTGCACCTAAGCTCTACTAGACATGGGACTAATCATCATGTGTGGATGGGTGCATGGTGGGAAGATGCTGAGAATCAGAGGAGAAGAAATGGTTATTTTCCTTTTGGCACCATTCACAAAACCTGGCATGTAACCAGTGTTTGTGACTGAATGGGTTTAGGCTAAGTAGTTATGAATCGTTTTTTATTTATTAATTGTAGAAATATTTATTGAGTGCCTACCCTGAGTCAGGTTCTGTTCTAGGCACTGAGGATGCAACAGTGGACAACATAAACATTCTGCCCTATGAAGCATGCATGTTTGTGGGGAAGACTAGTAGTGAAAATTACACAAGTACACCCATGGGAATACAAAATACAATGTCAAGTAGAGGTGATTTAAAATAATCTTAAATAATGAAAAGAGAGGGAAGGAAAGAAAAAAAAACACTGATCTGAGCACCAGAGAGCACCAGAGACCCCTTGCATTAGGCAAAGCCATCTCTCTATTCTTAGATTCTTTGACTTCTTTCCTTAAGTGCTGCCTGAACTTCTCTCTGCGTTATGTCAGTGCTCACTGATGCTATCACATGCAGTCCTCTCTCTGGGGGTAGGAGGTACTTAGTGGCAGATGACAGCAAAGGCAGATGAGCACACAGTAATGATTAAGCACCTGGTTCTGGAATCAGATCTAAGTTGGAAATGAACTAACTAGTTGTGTGATCTTGGGTAATTCCCTTCCCACTCTGAACCAGTTTCCTCATCTAGAACATGGGGATAATATTTGCACATGCCACACTAGATTACGAGAGCCTGGCTTACAATAACTGTTCAACAGATCCAGCAATTTTTACTAAATGTGACTTCTGAGTTGTTTAGAGCAGGGATTAGCAAACTATTGATTTGGCCCACCATCTGTTTTTGTAAATAAAGTTTTATGGGAACATAGCCATGCTCATTTAAATGAACGTACCCTCAATTACAAGGAGGGTAAGGTAGAGAAGACAAATTTACACCTTTACCATACTCATTTAAACGAATGTCATTTGCGTATTTGTCTATGGTTGCTTTCATTCTATAAAAGCAAAGTTGAGTAGCTGCAACCGTGACAGAAGAGGCTGCAAATTCTTACCTATTGACTATTTTGGCTCTTTGCAGAAAAACTTGGCTGATGCTTGGTTAAGAGAAAAGGGCATTTCTTTATTTTTTCAAAAAACTTAAGATTTTCTGACCTATTCAGACTGGCCTTCCACTGGGGCCAACTCATTTCTTCAGGGAACACCATTCAGGGGGAATACAGCATGGATGGTGCTCCTGGGGCTCAGCTCTCTAGTCATCTTTAGATGGCGGATGCTTCAGGATAGCTACTAAAAGCCCTCAGCATTTTCCTTAAGTTGAGCCCAGATGAAAGTCTGAGGGTTTATCCTCAGATGCTTTTCCCACTCATGTTATTGTCTGCAACAGAATCCAGTCATATTTGTAGTAAACTTCCATTGTCCTCACACTTGATCTTAGCCAAAAGGCCGAGAAGCGAAACATCTTCCCCCAGAACAGAAGGTGTCATCTCTAAATTTCTACTCTTGTCTCAATGCTTCCATTTGGTCCTAATATGAGGCAAAATAAAGACTGTAATAAACCTTCTCAATTTAAAAAGATTTCACAATCGGTCTTTAGAAAAAAAGTAACATGCTGTAAAAATATGAAATTTGGAAGCATTAAGTCACCATGTGTTTAATAGCCTTTCATAGGCTTCTTTTCCTTTAATGCTTTCAAAACTGTGGACATATGGGGCATATGGGATGAAGTTTGTATATGTACGTTTGGGGAGGGCAAGCCATCATGGATGGAGGGAGGAGGGGTGGGAGCTATGCAAAGAAGAAAAGGATAAAGAAACTGCATTGAAAAAAGCATATGATTGCATTTGCAAATTGATACAAATCTAGTATATATGTCAGTTAAAAAAAATTAAGGGGGCCACTAAAAAAAGTCCAAACTTCTTTAAAAGAAACAAAATAAGTCAGTCACCAAAGGACAAATATTGTATGATTTAACTTATATGAGGTTCCTAGAGGAGTCAAATTCGTAGAAAGAATTGTGGTGGCCGTGGCTGTGAGGAGAAGAGGGAGTTAGTGTTGAATGAGTATGGAGTTTCAGTTTGGGAAGATGAAAAGGTTTGGAGATGGATGGTGACGATGACTGCACAATACAAATGAACAATATGAACTGCCAAAGGCTTTCAGTACAAGATTTGGTACTAATTTTGTTGTGAAAATGATGAAGGCTAGGTAAGTACATTATTCCAGTGTGAGAAACTCTTTGGGGTCACTCTGGGCTTTTTAGTTATTCCAGGAGCCGGTTTGTGGTGCTGTGGTTAAGTATTATTTACCAACCAAATTACAGGAGGATAGGGTAGAGAAGAGATATTTATATCTTACTCAAACCACAAACTCAATCAGGGAACCAGATTGTTTTGAAAGGGTTGTGACAGGTGTAGTTCAAAATTGGGCTCTTCTTCACAGTGTCAGTTTTTTACATAACCAAGTTGGCTTTTATTGTTATAGTTTTGTTTTTATTGTGGTAAAATGCACATAAACTTTACCATTTTAACTAACCCCCCCCCCCTTTTTTTTTGAGCAGCAGCAAGATTTATTGCAAAGAGCGAAAGAACAAAGTTTCCACAGTGTGGAAGGGGACCCAAGCGGGTTGCCCCTAACTAACCATTTTTAAGTGGAGAGTTCAGTGTCATTAACCCAATAGAGGTGGTCCTGATCCCCTCTGTGCATGAACCTTATTGCTCTCATTTCCCTTTCTGTTCCTGATGTCACCCTCACCACCCTTGATGTCATTTCCCCCGCTGGTCCTGAGGCCCTTCTCACCATCACAATCATCTTCCTCTAGATGCCTGGTGACACAATTACCATCCTTTGATGTCCAACCTCTGTCACCTTCTAGTCCTCTAACCTCATACCCTTTAAGGGACTGTTTTAAACCCCACTGTCTCTGACATCATTACCCTTAAAAACAAAAGTAGAAAAAAAGTTTTAAAAAGTTAAAAAAAAAAAAGTAAAGAAAGTTTAAAAAGTTAAAAAAGTGTGTGTGTGGGGCTTGTCTCTCAGATAAGCCCCCTCCCTGGATGCCTGGACCCACTGCAAGCCCAAGCTCTCAGAGTTGGCCCAGACCCTCAGGGGGATCAAGTTTGCCCTGGCTCAGGCAGTGCAGGAGGAAGTGAGCAAAGCCCGTGGCCTCTGGTGATGACACCACATCACTGCCCCACAGGGAGCTTCCAGACAACTGAACTCCTGCCATTTTCCCTGATATGTTTTGTCGATTGTTGCCAGACAGTTGGCGTGTTGTTGCTTGGCAGTCACGTTAGAGAGCATAAAGGCAGGTTCCTTATCACAGATGACCATAGGGATGAATCACATATTAGTACATAGGAACCAACACTGTGCTTCTTCCAAACCAGGATGGAGTTATCAATGGCAGAGCAGCTCTTAAACCAGAGCCGCAGAGCAGGAGGGGCGCCAGAAGTCACCTAGGCCAGTGGCTCTCCAGCCTTGACTTGCTTTGGCCGGGGATGGGGAAAGCACAGGCTCCTGGGCTCCTCCCAAATATTCCGGTTCATTAGGGTCAGGGCGGGGCCCAGGAATTTGCATTTCTAACAGCTTGCAGGCCAGCCACACTCAGAAGCCCTGACCGAGACCATAGGTCCCCAACTTCGGCAGTCTATTAACATCAGCAGGGAAAGCTGAAACACTACTGATGCTCAGCTCCAGCCCCAGAGCCCTCATTTCAATTGGCCTGGGCTGGGTGACTTCTTGTAGTTTTCAAAAGGTCCTGTGGGACTGCAGTGTGCAGCCAGAGCTGAGAAACACTGGGGTGGCCAGGCCTCTCCTCTCATGGAGAGTTGTCATAAATGCTGCCAGGGCCCAGAGACGCAGGGCCTCTCCAGGCGAGCACAGGGACAGGGCGGCAGAGCAGGGCTCTTTCCCCACTCTAAATGCAGCCTGTGGATTTCCTAAGGTGGTTCGGGTGTGGAGCAGGGGGCAAAGAACAGAATATACCTCCACCTCATCTGGAGAGGACAGGGCGCTGCAGTCCTGAAGAAGGACCTTGGCAGTGAAGAGGTGGGTGGGGGGCCTGAGGAGGGAGAGGTACCACCAGGACACCAGGCAGGAGCCCACAGAATCACAGCTAAGGGGACAATACTATATCAATGTATCCCCATTCTACAGATGAGGACACAGAGGTCCTGAAAGATTAAGAGCTTTGTTGAAGGAACACGGCAGATCAGCAGTGGAGCAGAGACTAGAACTCCAGGCTTCTGTTTTGCCTGTTGGCCCCACTGCTCGGGCTGGGTTGCTGTCTGCCACTGGCACCAGGTAACCAGGGAGCAAAATGCAGGCTCGGATGAAAAACCAGAACAACAGCCTCCATGTTCCAGTGGGATGGGCCCACAGTGAGGATCTGCAGAGGAGTTGTCAGTAAACAGGTGATGCCCACATCAGGATTTGAAGAGTGTGTGCAGGGGGCTAGGGTGTGATGGGTGGGGGACTAAATTGAGAAGAGCCTTTTCGGTAAGAGGTATCACGGTACTATGAGACCCCTCCCCTGGTGACAGAAATGGGTGGACTGGGAGGGAACGCTTCCTCCATGACCTCAAATCAAGAAAGAGGCCTTGGTTTCCAGTGAAAAGGAGATCACTGGGTGGTTTGATAGGAGTCTCTGCAGCCTGGGGGACCCTGTGGACTGGTGTCTGACTCCCGCTTGAGAAATCTAATGGGGGATGATGGACTGGCCAGCTGCTCTGAGGATGGAACAAAAGAGAGGCAGCTGCTACACTGACATCAGCCTTCAGTCCTTAGGTTTGTAGGTGCAAAGGATGCAGGAGTGCTTTCTGCGCCCCAGATGTGGGCCGTGGGTGAGGAAGAGCTTGTGTGGCCCTGTCCAGGACTAGCTGGAGGGGTGAGGTGACCCCAGGGTAGAGAACTGAAGGATGCTCAGGAGCAGGGGAAGAAACCACAAATAGCCAATTGGGGGAGCATTTCATCTGCATCAAGAGCACGGCAGGAGAGAAAGTCCCAGTAATGAGGGACCCAGAAAAGCACCCCAGGAGTGTAAAGGGCCTGCTGCGATCCTCGCCAGGCCCAGTAAGCCCAATGCCAGCTCCAAGCAAGTAAAGTATTTCCTGCCCCTTCCACCACTCCTAATTCCAACTCCAGAGGGGTTGGACACCTGGGTGGATGGGATGATGGGGAAAGAATGCAGGCTGGCCAAAGAGAGAAGCAGCCAGCCTATACCCCTTTTCCCAAGGCAGGTGGCCGGCCTGCTGCAGGCCTGAGCTGGGAGAGGGAGAAGTTGTGCCAATGAATACTGTTTGAAGTTTTGAATATAATGATAGACTCTACATATTATAATAGTTACTGACCAGAGGACCTTCAAAATCATAAGACTTGCCACAAACTTTATCCAGAAGAAAGGGGAGAACCAGTACCACTGCAAGAGTTAAAAAGGACAGTGGTGGACAAAGTTTCTCTATGACTAAGAGACAAGGTTGGCAACATCATGGCTATACCAAACCTCACGGGTGGCGAATGCAGTCCACGGTGTGAAGGCTGAGCTCCTGTCCTACAAGAGCCTCTTTGAAAATGGAATCATTAAATCCAGTACCAGCCCTGTTTCACCCCTCTCTTTTAAGAGCTCCCTATTGCCCATAAGTTAAAGTGCAGATTCCTTAATGTGGCTCTAGCCTTCCCTTCCAGCCTCTCCCTGTACCCTGTCCCCACGAGTCCTACGCCCCAGCCACATCAAGCCTCTCTCAGCTCCTGACCACCCTCCTCCTATCCCCAGGCTGCCCTGGATGGTTCCTTTGACAAGGTCCCCAGCATCTCTATGCCCTTTGCTTGGCTAACTCCCACTCACCCTCCAGGCCCCAGCATAGGTGGCACTTCCTCCATGAAGCCTCCCTTGAGTGTTTTGTACCCCAGCACTCCCCACATGTCCCCAGCCAGCCCTGATAACCGTGTTATAAATGCTTTGTTAACTGTCCGATTTCCCCAGTAGGCTGAAGGTAGCAGGAGGTAGGGATTGTGTTTAGCTTGGATCCCCAGCAAATAGCTCAGTGCCTGGAATATAGTATATACTTGCTAGATAAATGCTGAGTGAACACTGCTAATACCCTGAAACAGGAGAGTGATTACCTTCTTCTTCATTTTCACATTTTTGAAGATGGCGTGGACTCTCCAGGTCTTTGCAAACATGGCCCCAAAAGCGGTTGTGTAGCCCACGGTGAGAATCCAGGTCCTGACCTAGAGGCCATGAGAAAACAGAAGCATTGACCTTCCTTAGGTAGATGGACTTCATCAGGTATGAGACCACCCTGCAGGGGGACTTTTCATGACGGGGAAAAATACTCCCCTCTACATATCATTGAGTTTCACTGGCATCTTTCAATCAAATTTCCATTCAATAGGCATTTAGTTCTATCAGTCACTCACCAGACCCAGGGCACTGGGCACACAGGAGTGCAAGATTCAAATCCTCCCTTAGATGATCCCAGAGAGAGCCAGGCAGAGAGCCACAGACTGCTGAGGTACCACCAAAAGGTGATGGTCCAGCCCTCTGGCCTTCACGTCCCCTCCTCCCTTCCTTCTTCCTGTTGCCCAGTCCTCTCCCCACATGGTCAGGCCATGTGGCTACTATTGTCCAGTGCGACCTCAGAAGGCCAGTTAGTCAGCACAGGCCAGCCTGGCTACTGAGCTCACATTTAGACCTTGGTCCCTGCTTAGGACTGAGGCCCTGTCTGGCTCTCACCTGTTCCTCAGGACCAAGGTGTGCCCTGACCCCTAGCGCTGGGTTGGTGGCTAATGGGAACAGCCGGCCCTGACATGAGCCTACAACTTGGATCCCTTAGGGCTGGAACAGGCTGGCCACCACCTGTTAGGTTTTAGGGGCCTCCAGGACGCCCACTTTCACCTGTACTGCATCACTCCCAGAACCCCCGACCCTCACCATTTAGACTGGACACCCTCTAATACCCAGGAGACTTGCACATCTCCAGGTGGGGGCCCCACATCATGGTCCAGCCCTGGGCTGTGCACCACTGAGTTCTGGGGCCTCCCACTCACTGGGACGGAAAAGCCACGTGCCCCATGAGCTGCAGCTCTGAGCTTGGGTCTTTGCTTTCCCTCAGCTCTGTTGAGCTTAGTTTCCTTTGAAAGGCTCCAACCTGCCTTGGCTGAACACAAGGCAGAAAAGTAGATGTGGTAGGGAAAAGAGAGGCAGCCAGGCTGCAGCAGACAGCTGAGGCCCTCTGCATCCAGAGGAGCTGAGCACAGCAGCTTTGCTTGGCTTCCCCAGGCCCCTTCTAGTTCAGGGCTGGCTGCCACCAGCACAAGCAGGAAGTTTCCAAGAAATGTTCCCAGCCCATTCCCCTGACGGATTCATTCTGCTCCTGCCTTTCCGGCAACTTGACTCTCCGGGTTTTCAGAGACAGAACATTTTGCATTTCCATTTTATTTGTAAAAATAGGAACTATTTTTAGACTGCAAGGCCGACCCACTAAATCAAGGGAAGGACAACAGTATCACAGCACTTGTTCGGAAACACAGGCCTGTGAAGCATGAATGCTGCGAGGGTACAGGTGGGCACTGAGCCTTCTGTTTTCTTTTTCTTTGTTTTTAAAATTTCACAAACAAGGAGAAATCAGATGGGTAAAAATGAACCACAGTGCTTTAGAAACAATGTAGAATGGCCACGGTATTACCCAGATGATCATAAAAGGATATGAGAAAAGTATACAAAACAGGGAGGGGGAAAGAGCCAAAGATAGAGAATTTAGACCTAAGCATATTCAATGACCAGAAAATACGTTTGTCATCTGTCAGAGATGCATGGGACTTGACAGTTCATCTTATTCATTCATTCATTCACTCATTCATTAGTTTGCTGGGTCACTCATTCATTAGTTTGTTCATTTGTTCATCTTCAACAAGTATTATTAGGCCAGAGGCAAAGTATATAATAATAAAAACAAACAACAAGAAAAACAACAAACACCAAGGTGATTTTTTGGAGGTGTCAGTTAAGCGAAGAAATCCCTTAACAGGTGAAGAAACTGAGGCCCAGCGCATTTAAGATATTTCCCTTAATCACGCCACACAGCTCCAGAGCTGAGCCTGGAACTCGATGCTTCGTCCTGGTCCAGGTCTCTCTCCCTGACATCCTGCTGCTGCCTCCTCCTCAGATGGAGTCTCCTCAACCCAAATCAGGTTCATCTACACCTAGGAGCCAGATGTCAAAGGACCAGGACACACCCAGAGGGGGTAGCTGACCAACCTGTAACACCCTCCGGGGACCTCAACACACTTGTAAAGCTAATTTATTGACACGACTGTTAAGACCAATGGTCTACAGCATTTTTGATAACGTTCTCTTGAACATGTTTAATTTGACAAATTACCATACACAGACCATGGGCATTTTAAAAAGGACAAAGATGAAGTAATATCATCATTTTTACCTCATCCTGTGGCTGACAAAGATCTGTTTTGAGGAGATGTGTCACTCCAGTGTGCTAAGCACTTTTTTTTTTTTTTTTTTTTTGAGATGAGATCTCGCTCTGTCACTCAGGCTGGAGTGCAGTGGTACAGTCACAGCTCACTGCAGCCTCCATCTCCGGAGCTCAAATAATCCTCCTACCTCAGTCTCCTGAGTAGCTGGGACTGCAGGCATGCACCACCGTGCCCGGCTAACTTTTGATTTTTAGTACAGATAAAATCTTGCTATATTGCCCAGGCTGGCCTTGAACTCATGAACTCAAGTGATCTTCCTGCCTCAGCCTCCCAAAGTGTTGGGAGTATAGGCAAGAGCCATTGCATCTGGCCTTAGTGTGCTAAGCATTCTTAATACTTGCTTTAACTTATGTTTTCTTTGAAACAATCATTTCCAGGCCACTTGTCTATTTTGTGAGGGCTAAATTCATTAAGACTCAACCATCTAATTAGTCGTTAGTTAAAACTCAATAATATAAATTTAACCTGGCATCTGGAAATTGCAATATGTTGCCATAAACTAAAAGAAAAGAATAGCTGAGGATGCCTGGGCAGAAAAGAGTTAACGTAGCAGGCCTGAGACCGTTGTCTTTAGGAAGGTCTGATTTGAGGGTTGGTCCTTGGCTGGTATCTGAGAGCCTGGATTCTGGATGGTTCCCACCATCTCCTCAATGGTAAGAGCAGCTCACTGTGCCTAAACGGGTTGTGCAAACAACATGGTTTATGCTGAACACTGCCTTCCTTCTGGGAGTCTGGAATTTTGTTATGTAGTAGGCAGACGGTGTCGACATAGCCATCCCCCAACTAAACTCCCTGGGCATGGCATTTCTAATGTGCTTCCCTGGGCAGCATTGCACACATGTGGTCGCTACTCATTGCTGGGGGAATTAAGCGTGTCCTGTGCACCTCTGCTGTGATAGGGCTATCAGAAGCTGGCACCTGGTTTCCCCTGGACTTCGCCTCCCCATGTGCCTTGTCCTTTGCTGATGCTGCTGTGTATTCTTTCAGTGTAATAAGTCATAGCTGCGAGTATGACTGCACGCTGAGCCCTGAGAGTCCTAGTGAATCACTGAACTTGGGGGTTGTCTTAGAGACTCTCAATGCTGCATCCCATTGCTGTCTGGTGTAGAGAACTGACTAACCACCTTGTCTTTGGGAGCGTTCCTGCCTACAATCACCAGACACCTACTGCCAGGGCTCCACAGTCAGTCCCCGTATTGAGTGTTAGTCCAGCTTAAGCTTCTGGGATTTAAACCCATTGCTGCCCCAGAGCCCTCAGGTTAAACTCCAAATTCTTAGCAGGCAGGGTGCAGCCCCCTCCACCCTACCTCTTCTGATATTCCTCAAGCCATCCTGCACTGCTCAGTCTTTCCCCTCACATCACACTGGCTCATGCTGCCAGGTCTGACACTTGCTGTTTCCTCCACCCAAAATGCCATTCCTTGTTCAGTGTTCTTCAGAACTTCTCATGCATCCTCTGAAATCCAAACTTGTGAGCCACTTCCTCCGAGAAGCCTACTGAGACCTTGCAGGGAGGTCCTGACCACTTCCTCCTCATGACTTCTGCCTTCAAGCATGTTTCTGCTCTGCTGGTCACACAGAGATGACATCTATCTGATTACCTGTCTGCCTCTCCCACTAGATGAGGCTACTGGGAGGCAGGGCCTGCTGTGCCCACCTTTAAATCTCTGGAGCCAAGAGGAGACAATCAGGCTGGATGCGCCAGTTTAGGAGGTTGTAAACTCTTTGTCACCACAGATGTGCAAGTTGAGCCCAAGCAAGCAAAATAAAGGAAGACCACAGAGAGAACTGGAGCATTTGATAGCAAAAGAGGCTGAGTTCATGGCCTCAGCTGTTCCTTCTACATGCTGTCTGACAGGTAGTGAGCTCCCCATCACTCCACATATTCAAGCAAAGCTTGGAAGACCCCCCCGCCCCGGCTTCTCCCCCTCCATCAGAATGCTGCAGGGGCATTTCCTGCACTGAGGGAGGTTTCATTTAATGACATCCCAGGTGCCTCCCTTCTATGTGGCTCTATGATGCCGAATAAACTAGAAGGTTTTATCTGAAGGGTTCTAATGATTCTGTTTTTCAATATGTTACCACCAATACAAGTCTCTACTGATTCATCAACACCAACCAGCTACTTCACTTTTTCTCCTAAAGTCTTACATGTGTTTATTTTTCTGATTTAACATCTTTCTTTTTCTCCCCTTAGCCATCAAGTACTCAGCCCCCTCTGCAAACTGCCTTGAACATAATACATCCATGGGGGAAGACAAACTTTAGGCAGGCAGCGCCCATCTCAGTCTCAGCTATGAAAAAGGAAAAAGAAATAAGAGCAAATCTCCAAATGGAAGGAAGCATCTATGCCCAGAACAATTCTGCTCAGCCGCTTGCTCCATTGATTTCATGAAGCATGCCTGGCCGGGTGAAGGGCTTTCAATGCCCTTCTGGGGATCAGCATGAAAATGGACACACAACCTCTGCTGGCAGGCCTGCTCTGACAGATGATGGACGGGAGGACGGGACTGCCGTGCTCCGGGTCTCCTTGTTGCCACAGATTCATGTGGGCTTCAGGCCAACAAGTCAGAGGGAGAAGCAAGCTCTGGTGGCTGACTGAACACAGGGGCAAGTCACTCTCCTGCTGTCCAGAAGTTTCTTCAAGGGCCTTTTATTTCATTCTGACTGCTCATTCCAGGTGATCAATAGTGAGAAGGAGGGAAGAAACTCCCAGAGTGCCCCAAAGCAAGACC